CTCTCGCTCGCTCTCTCCCTCTCTCTCTCTCTCTCTCTCTCTCTCTCTCTCTGTCGCTCTCTCTCTGTGTCTCTCTCTTTCCTTCTTTCTCTATATTTTCTAATTTTCTCTCTTTGCACTGTGGCTCCCCATTTTCCCTTCATGATATTTTAAACTCAGAATTTCGAAATGTCTGACAACCTCCCAATCCACGTTTTCCTTCCCCTCTCTTCCTCCTCATCTGTATTCTGTTCACACTAATGTTGAGGCGACTTCACTTCACAAGAGCGTTTATTACGCTAAGCATATTGGATCTGTTACGAAAAAAATAATTTCAATGAATAATGTTCTGGATCTTGGAAGCTGAACGGTTCAGCTGGCAAAGTCCAGAATCATCAGTTTTGTCTAGATATCTACCAGATACTGGGATACTGTCCAATGTGTGATGATCTTACTAAACGATGTCCTGAGCTCAGATGTATGTAGACATTAAAAATATATCCAGCAATAACCGTACCATGGACTATGGCATTGACGTCGGTACCTCTATAGGGCAAAAGCTAATATAAAGGAGATGGAAAGAAGAGAAACACAAAAAGCGTACAGTGGAAGCTGTCATTTTTCAGGAGCTAAACGCACTGTCCAATAGACAAGATCCTTTGCTGTATATGTCCAGGTACTCATTAACACATAGATGAAGTGAGATTTTTAAAAATGTAAAGTGCCTTTCCCAAAGACAACGTTGGGACGAGATAAGCCTCGAACCCCCGAACCCTCAACTTCTCGATTAAGAATACGGTAGCCAAACCACCAGACTACTGACGCAAAACAAGTTTGGTAGTTATATTACCCTACCCCACCCCACCCCACCCCACGCGCTCCCGGACGCCTGTTGTTTCAAAGTTCCGTCATAACTTCCAAACAACGTCTGGGATTCAATGTAGAGTATATTAGGAGCAATAGCCCATAAGTTCAAGATAATATAGAGTGGGTACCGTGTGTGCTATTTCCTGAAAGTACCAGAAATGTATTGTCGGCAAGGCACTGGATGATGATGATGACCAGAAATGTGTAATAAACAATACACATGATCTTTTAACAGAACACAATAACTATAAACAGTGCTAACCACAGCATCAATGTGAAATATCTTGTATGTATGTTTTACAATAACAAATATGTGTTTTTTTATATTTCCATCAGTAATTAGAAGCATCTTTTAAATGTTCTGTTTCTAATAAAGTTGGTCGTAAGCACCAGATAAAAAATAATACTGCACGTACGCTTTGTTTGCATATCAATCATACAATTTAGTCACAGTAGACTAATAGTAATTATGCGCAGTCTCCTGTTTGCCCTAAGTCTATAATTTGAACAGTCTACGATCTTTACAAATGACAAGACAGTTGTAGAGACAGGACGTGTCAACAAGAAAGCAAGAGTGGAAGAGAGATCGATGAATGCAAAGTCAAAGTGTACAGGAAAGTAAGACTAGAGCACAGAGATAGGGTGATGATAAAACAAAGAGAATTGTTCTTGGTCTTATGAATCAGAATTTTTATTGCTTCCTTTAATAAACCAAAAATTGAACAAAAAGCACTATGATATTGCAATGTTTAAATATACTTGAACTGGTATTTAAAAAAAAATCTACAAATAATGAAGTCGGTCCGACTGTGCTCCGTTGGGCATTTTGACAGTCTGCCAGGAATGCCTTGCTTCGCCCTCCTCTTGAACTTTTCCAGAAACGCATGATATTTTATTTTATCTAGATGCTAAGATGTGTTTAAGCTTTAATGAGTGGCATTTGTGTATGACTACAGATAAAAAATATAACAAGCAAAAACCAACACAAATGTCATTAAAATCGAACAACTTTCATAATGGTTTGCAGCAAGATAATTTCCTTACTTCTGCTTCTTAGACTTATTTGTGTGCATCGTGATTTTGTTCATACTATTATTATGCTTAGATCTTCAGATTCTGTTATTTTATTTGGCCTTGTTTTATTGGTTTTATTCAACCTAGTTATCTGATGCTTGATAGTAATATTCACCAAACTTTTTTTTTCCAAACTACTAAAGACCCACCAGTTTCAACGTTAGTGCCAGTATACTAACATCTCTCCAGGTCTAGAGCCATCCTAAACAAACCGTTTTTTTAAAGAAAAGAGTCACGTAAGTGGCCTAAAACCAACTCTTCAAACTTAAACGTATTGCCTAATGTTTTGTTGCATATAACCTGAATGTCAACTTCTTCAATTACACAAGTGAAAAAGGTATTGTAAAAACCTCAATGCACACTGACCTAAAAACATGTCACGACATCGTTATTACCTCACATTTTCGAATTCTTTTCTATGTTTGTATCGTTCACCAACTGCTCGGAGATTCTCAATGCTATCTACAATGGAAGCATCCTCTTGAGTTACATAAGTCAATGCTCTTGACTTTTCCAGTTATTACTTCCATAATATTCTTCCTTCCTATTTGTTTCTGTTTATAATGTCAACAACTTCTATCCCCTCTCCCCTCCACATACAAACACAGACACTTCTTAAAACAACCTCTACCCACATCTCATCTCTACCCTCCACCCCCACTCCATTTTTTTCCCTTTGTCCCCACAAAACCACACCCAACAATGCGAAACATGAAGAAAACTCAAAAGTAAAAAAAAAAGAGAAATAGAATAACAACATTTAAAATGTCTGGGAGGTTCCTCTCCTAAGCTTCTGGACCATTTATCACGGCGTTTGAGCCTGGGTGCATCCCCCTCAATGCGTCTTGCTCAGTCTGGGTCAATAACCGCGGCGTAATGAATTACGTACCGTAGTCGATTCCGCTAGACGCACTGTTGGGGGATTGATTTTCACTGGGTGCATTTTACCCCGTATACAGCCTGGAGGCTCTATGACTTAGTTCATGAGCTGGAAATAACTAACGTCAAGTCGGCATTTTCGGCTTTGGACAAAAAAAGACAAGAATCGCGGGAAATCGTGACACAGAAAATATTTTTGTAATCCTCTTTTTGTCATGCTCATCGACAATTTCTTTCTCCTGCTTCACCCTCTTTTTCACATCTGTCTTCCTTCTCCTCCTTCTCCAACTCCTCATCCTCCTCCTCCTTTTCCTCTTCTGTCTACACCTCCGCTTCCTTTTTGTGTTGTTGTTGTTATTGTTATTGTTATTGTTGTTGTTAATGTTTTGTTGTTTTTCTTTTTGTTGTTGTTGTTGTTGTTGTTGTTGTTGCTGTTCTTGTTCTTGTTCTTGTTCTTGTTCTTGTTCTTGTTTTTGTTGTTGTTGTTGTTGTTGTTGTTGTTGTTGTTGTTGTTGTTGTTGTTGTTGTTGTTGTTGTTGTTCTTCTTCTTCTTCTTCTTCTTCTTCTT